TGCTCTCTCTCTGGTATCTCTCTGAGTCTCTCTCTCTGGTCTCTCTCTGGTCTCTCCTCTGGTCTCTCTCTAGTATCTCTCTAGTATATCTCTGGTCTCGTCTGCTCTCTCTCTGGTATCTCTCAGGTCTCTCTCCCCCCCCCCCCCCCCCCCCCCGGGGGGGCCCCAAGTGGGGGACCCCCCCCCTGTCTCCTTCTCTAGTATCTCTCTCTAGTATCTCTCTGGTCTCTCTCTCTGATCTCTCTCTGGTCTCTCTCTAGTATCTCTGTTCTCTCTCTGCTCTCTGCTCTCTCTCTCTCTTTGGTCTCTCTCTGCTCTCTCTCTCTGCTTGGTCTCTCTGTTCACTCTCTGCTCTCTCTCTCTCTGGATCTCTCTGCTGCTCTCTCTCTCTCTGCTCTCTCTCCGCTCTCTCTCTGCTCTCTCTCTTTCTGGGTCGATCTCTCTTGTGCTCCAGACTCTTGTATTTTTTCATGTATTTTGTGTGAAATCTTCAATAATAACAACACCAAGACAGTTGTATGGCCTTCCTCTCTCCTCTTCCTCACGTGCAAGCACATCACAAACATGGTTTAAAAAGACCATGTGGTCATACATGGAACATAAATGTGAGAGTCCTCACTGTCGTTTTTCAGCTCTCAGAGCTCCTCTTCCAGTCGGGCTCTCACCGCCTTCACATCGTGGCCTGGAACAGCTCAGCTCCTCTGACACACAGCACACAGGCTTTTTGGCACAAATGAAACAAGCAAACAAAAACTCTTCACTTTACTGAAATAGTAAATTGATCCGATCTAATGTTTTTCTTGTCTCTTGTGTCTCTTCTTTGTTTCTGAAACTTAGAGAATTCAACCACAAAGTCTGAGATCCTGCTTCACTTTTATCTCTGCAGCGATGAAAGTTTGTTTAGTGGTTTTGAGACTCAGTGACATCAGAGGAAAAAGAAAGGAGAGAGACCAGAGAGAGACTAGAGAGAGACCAGAGAGAGACTAGGAGAGAGACTAGAGAGAGACCAGAGAGAGACTAGAGAGAGACAAGAGAGAGACTAGAGAGAGACAAGAGAGAGACTAGAGAGAGACTAGAGAGACAAGAGAGAGACTAGAGAGAGACTAGAGAGAGACCAGAGAGAGACTAGAGAGAGACAAGAGAGAGACTAGAGAGAGACTAGAGAGACAAGAGAGAGACTAGAGAGAGGACTAGAGAGAGACCAGAGAGAGACTAGAGAGAGACCAGAGAGAGACTAGGGAGAGATTAGAGAAAGACTAGAGAGAGACAAGAGAGAGACCAAGAGAGACCTAGAGAGAGACTAGAGAGAGACTAGAGAGAGACTAGAGAGAGACAAGAGAGAGACTAGAGAGAGACCAGAGAGAGACTAGGGAGAGACTAGAGAGAGACAAGAGAGAGACAAGAGAGAGACCAGAGAGAGACTAGAGAGAGACTAAAGAGAGAGGACAGAGAGCGACTAGAGAGAGACTAGAGAGAGACCAGAGAGAGACTAGAGAGAGACCAGAGAGAGACTAGAGAGAGACCAGAGAGAGACTAGAGAGAGACCAGAGAGAGACAGAGAGAGAGAGACCAGAGAGAGACTAGAGAGAGACTAGAGAGAGACTAGAGAGAGACCAGAGAGAGACTAGAGGGAGACCAGAGAGAGAGACTAGGGAGAGACTAGAGAGAGACAGAGAGAGACTAGAGAGAGACAAGAGAGAGACTAGAGAGAGACCAGAGAGAGACAGAGAGAGAGAGAGAGAGACCAGGAGAGAGACCAGAGAGAGACCAGAGAGAGACAAGAGAGAGACCAGAGAGAGACCAGAGAGAGACTAGAGAGAGACAAGAGAGAGAGACCTAGAGAGAGACCAGAGAGAGACAAAGAGAGAGACTAGAGAGAGACCAAGAGAGAGACTAGAGAGAGACCGAGAGAGAGACAAGAGAGAGACTAAGAAGAGAGAGACCAGAGAGAGACTAGAGAGAGACTAAAAGAGAGAGGACAGAGAGCGACTAGAGAGAGACCAGAGAGAGACTAGAGAGAGACCAGAGAGAGACCAGAGAGAAGACCAGAGAGAGACCAGAGAGAGACTAGAGAGAGACCAGAGAGAGACCAGAGAGAGACCAGAGAGAGACTAGAGAGAGACCAGAGAGAGACTAGAGGGAGACCAGAGAGAGACCAGAGAGAGACTAGAGAGAGACTAGAGAGAGACCAGAGAGAGACCAGAGAGAGACTAGAGAGAGACCAGAGAGAGACCAGAGAGAGACCAGAGAGAGACTAAGAGAGAGACTAGAGGGAGACCAGAGAGAGACTAGAGAGAGACTAGAGAGAGACCAAAGAGAGACTAGAGGGAGACCAGAGAGAGACTAGAGAGAGACTAGAGAGAGACTAGAGAGAGACAAGAGAGAGACTAGAGAGAGACTAGAGAGAGACAGAGAGAGACTAGAGAGAGGCCAGAGAGAGACCAGAGAGAGGCCAGAGAGAGACCAGAGAGAGACCAGAGAGAGCCAGAGAGAGACTAAGAGAGAGACTAGAGAGAGACAAGAGAGAGACTAGAGAGAGACAAGAGAGAGACTAGAGAGAGGCCAGACAGAGACCAGAGAGAGACCAGAGAGAGGCCAGAGAGAGACTAGAGAGAGGCCAGAGAGAGACCAGAGAGAGACCAGAGAGAGACCAGAGAGAGACCAGAGAGAGACCAGAGAGAGACCAGAGAGAGACCAGAGAGAGACCAGAGAGAGAGACCAGAGAGAGATCAGAGAGAGACCAGAGAGAGACCACAGATAGAGACCAGAGAGAGACCAGAGATAGAGACCAGAGAGAGACCAGAGAGAGACCAGATAGAGAGACCAGAGAGAGACTAGAGACAGACTAGAGAGAGACTAGAGAGAGACTAGGGAGAGACTAGAGAGAGACTAGAGAGAGACGAGAGAGGCCAGAGAGAGACCAGAGAGAGACTAGAGAGAGACTAGAGAGAGACTATAGAGAGAGGACAGAGAGCAACTAGAGAGAGACTAGAGAGAGACAAGAGAGAGACCAGAGAGAGACCAGAGAGAGACTAGAGAGAGACTAGAGAGAGGCCAGAGAGAGACCAGAGAGAGACTAGAGAGAGACTAGAGAGAGGCCAGAGAGAGACCAGAGAGAGACTAGAGAGAGACTAGAGAGAGACTAGAGAGAGACCAGAGAGAGACTAGAGGGAGACCAGAGAGAGACTAGAGAGAGACTAGAGAGAGACCAGAGAGAGACTAGAGAGAGACTAGAGAGAGACTAGAGAGAGACTAGAGAGAGACCAGAGAGAGACTAGAGAGAGACCAGAGAGAGACTAGAGAGAGACCATGGGCGGCAGTAGCTCAGTTGGTAGAGCTTTGGCCTTTGAGCCAGAAGGTCGTGGGTTCAAGCCCCGCTCAAGACTTTCACCATCGACTCCCTCTGACTACTGTCGTTGTGTCCTTGGCAAGACACTTAACCTCTGGGAACACCAGCCACAGAGGCCAGAGAGAGACCAGAGAGAGACCAGAGAGAGACCAGATAGAGAGACCAGATAGAGAGACCAGATAGAGAGACCAGAGAGAGACCAGAGAGAGACCAGAGAGAGACCAGAGAGAGACCAGATAGAGACCAGATAGAGAGACCACAGAAAGATGCTTTGCTCTGAAAGAGGACTGGGTCTGTTCTGGAGTTTCTTTATGAATCCAGCTCTTAGAAAAATCAAGACTCTTCTTGCTCCTGGAAAAGCCGTGTTCCAGCTTCTTCCCTCTGGCAGTAGATATTGTTGGCTGAGATACAGGACATCTGGAGAAGCTAACATGCTAACCGCTTCTTTCAGCTGTTATCAGTCTGAACGAAGCACTTTAATGATCCTACGCTTGTATTGAACCTATTTTTGTGGATTACTTTCACAGTGACACATTTTTCTTGTACTTATCGATTGTACTAATCTTGTACAAATTAACCGTCGTTTTATCTAAGTATTTGTCTGTTTCACACTGGGGACTCTCGCACAGCTATTCCAATGGGGTTTTACTACAAATGGCAACAAACCTGGCATTTGCAGCGTAAAACCACCACGGTCTGTTACGGTCTGTTACGGTCTGTTACTGTCTTACGGTCTGTTATGGTCTGTTACTGTCTGTTACTGTCTGTTACGGTCTGTTACTGTCTGTTACTGTCTGTTACTGTCTGTTACTGTCTGTTACTGTCTGTTACTGTCTGTTACTGTCTGTTACTGTCTTACGGTCTGTTACTGTCTGTTACTGTCTGTTACGGTCTGTTACTGTCTGTTACTGTCTGTTACTGTCTGTTACTGTGTGTTACTGTCTTACGGTCTGTTACAGTCTGTTACGGTCTGTTATGGTCTGTTACTGTCTGTTACTGTCTTATGGTCTGTTATGGTCTGTTACTGTCTGTTACGGTCTGTTATGGTCTGTTACGGTCTGTTATGGTCTGTTATGGTCTGTTATGGTCTGTTACTGTCTGTTACGGTCTGTTATGGTCTGTTACTGTCTTACGGTCTGTTACGGTCTGTTATGGTCTGTTACGGTCTGTTACGGTCTGTTACGGTCTGTTACTGTCTGTTACTGTCTGTTACGGTCTGTTACTGTCTGTTACTGTCTGTTACTGTCTGTTACGGTCTGTTACGGTCTGTTACGGTCTGTTACAGTCTGTTACGGTCTGTTACGGTCTGTTACTGTCTGTTATGGTCTGTTACTGTCTGTTACGGTCTGTTACGGTCTGTTACTGTCTGTTATGGTCTGTTACTGTCTGTTACGGTCTGTTACTGTCTGTTACTGTCTGTTACTGTCTGTTACTGTCTGTTACGGTCTGTTACTGTCTGTTACGGTCTGTTATGGTCTGTTACTGTCTGTTACGGTCTGTTACGGTCTGTTACTGTCTGTTACGGTCTGTTACTGTCTGTTACGGTCTGTTATGGTCTGTTACTGTCTGTTACTGTCTGTTACTGTCTGTTACGGTCTGTTACTGTCTGTTACTGTCTGTTACTGTCTTACGGTCTGTTATGGTCTGTTATGGTCTGTTACTGTCTGTTACGGTTTGTTATGGTCTGTTACTGTCTGTTACTGTCTGTTACGGTCTGTTACTGTCTGTTACTGTCTGTTACTGTCTTACGGTCTGTTATGGTCTGTTATGGTCTGTTACTGTCTGTTACGGTCTGTTATGGTCTGTTACTGTCTGTTACGGTTTGTTACTGTCTTACGGTCTGTTATGGTCTGTTATGGTCTGTTACTGTCTGTTACGGTCTGTTATGGTCTGTTACTGTCTGTTACTGTCTGTTACTGTCTGTTACTGTCTGTTACTGTCTGTTACTGTCTGTTACGGTCTGTTACGGTCTGTTACGGTCTGTTACTGTCTGTTACGGTCTGTTACTGTCTGTTACGGTCTGTTACTGTCTGCTACGGTCTGTTATGGTCTGTTACTGTCTGCTACGGTCTGTTATGGTCTGTTACGGTCTGTTACGGTCTGTTATGGTCTGTTACGGTCTGTTACTGTCTGTTACTGTCTGTTACGGTCTGTTACTGTCTGTTACTGTCTTACGGTCTGTTATGGTCTGTTATGGTCTGTTACTGTCTGCTACGGTCTGTTATGGTCTGTTACGGTCTGTTACGGTCTGTTATGGTCTGTTACGGTCTGTTACGGTCTGTTACGGTCTGTTATGGTCTGTTACTGTCTGTTACTGTCTTACGGTCTGTTACTGTCTGTTACTGTCTGTTA